AAAAAAAAAAAAAAAAAGTCTAGGTATTCCTTACCAATTTTTGTCTTAAGATCGCTAGCAAAGCAGGTCCCAAGAATAAATACTGCTTCATACTTTAGTTTTATGTTCAGGAAAGATGATACTCTGTGGAGAATGGAAGTCTCTAGGAGTACATAAATAGCCAGACCAAAATGGCCTATTGCTCCATGGCCTTTGCTTCAAACTTGCCACAAGCCGGGTGCTCTAGTGATGTGTAAAGAAAACAGGGGTGCACAAGAGAAAGCGTAAATATGTGTGAGAGTTTTATTTTTTTATTTTATTTTTTTTTAATTTTTTTTTTCAACGTTTTTATTTATTTTTGGGACAGAGAGACACAGAGCATGAACGGGGGAGGGGCAGAGAGAGAGGGAGACACAGAATCGGAAACAGGCTCCAGGCTCTGAGCCATCAGCCCAGAGCCTGATGCGGGGCTCGAACTCACGGACCGCGAGATCGTGACCTGGCTGAAGTCGGACGCTTAACCAACTGCGCCACCCAGGCGCCCCTGTGTGAGAGTTTTAAAGAACCCTTACATGCATTACCTTATATTGGTCACACAAGAACATTGTGAGGGAAGCTTTGCTATTCTTTTCATACAGATGAAGACATTGACGTCAACCAATTGGGAGAACATGCAGGGAGCAAGCTTTCAAATTCATACTTTCTCACTTCTGAGACATTTGTATACATTCTGGATGCTTTTATTTATAGGGGCATTTGATCTGCGCATTTACTATATACAATAAAAATTATTTTAAATGAGATTTAACTTGGCTTAAAAATTATAAAGTCGTTATTATTTCCTGACCATGAAAATTTCCAGACGTCATCGTGAGCACTTGCTAGCCCTGTTTCTCATTAGTGCATGTTAAAGGAAAAAAAAGGGGAAGCAAAAAGAAAGAGAAAAGGCCTGAAAAAGAGAGATAGGAAAGGAAAGGGGACGGGGGAAGAAGAGAGGAAAGGAGGAAGAAATATAAAAAGACTGGAAAGTATGGAAGCTTATTAAAAATACTTTGGGACACCCGGGTGGCTCAGTTTGTTGAGCAACTGACTTTGGCTCAGGTCAATATCTCACAGCCCATGGGTTCAAGTCCTGCGTCAGGCTCTGTGCTGACAGCTCCGTGCCTGAAACCTGCTTGGGATTCTGTGTCTCCCTCTCTGTGCTCCTTCCCTGCTTGTGCTCTGTGTCTCTCTCTTTCTCTCAAAAATAAATAAACATTTTAAAAAATTAAAAAAAAAAAACACCTTTGTAGGGGCCCCTGGGTGGCTCAGTCTATTGAGCCTCCAACTATTGATTTCGGCTCAGAT